TTTGCCTTCAAACCTCAACTCAAAACCTTCTTGCTAACAGTCTTCCACCGCTTCGACAGTCTATTCTCTAGCACAGGCTAAAAATCTTTAATTTCAGTGGATTCGAAGCAAGAAGGATTTTCAGTCCTGTTGAGCTACCCCGCATCTTCTCTCGGCGAAAAGAAGGTCCTACTTGCATGTGTTAAGCATATAGCTCGACCATGATTCTTCCCTTCTTTAACCTAGTGAACCAGACATAGTACTTCTGAACCCGAAGCTCTTCTCTTATGCAATTTCGAGTTAGCCCTCTCCCCTTGCTTGCTACTCTCGTGATAGGGTGGGGCTCTAAAAAAAACTACCACCATTGGAATTCGTCCTTGCAGCTCACTTCGTCAAAAGAAGGAGATCCATGCACTGAGTCGTCCAATGACGCATGTCTATCCCAAGCTCCTTTTTCAGCAGGATAAGCCTAACTTGGAATCAAAGCTAGCAGCTCACCTGAGACTCAATTCACATTGACCCTTCTCTACTCCCTACCCCAAGTGCGCCTTTATTCGCTAGGCTCAGTCTCATATGTAAGGCTACCTGGCTGACATCTAATATAGGAAAGGAATCGCTTGAAGACTGGTTCGTCTACCTTACATCGGATTGAATTCTTAAGATTCAATCAATACTTTAAATGAAATATGTCTTGATAGCTTAAGATAAGCCTTTGAAATAGGTACTATAGGAATGGCAGTAAAGGATGCACTTCTAAGACCAAGTCTCATATAGGCCTTTCGGTGCCCAATGAGCCGAATACAGATAGCAGAATAGGCGATACGATGGGAACTCTTTCTCTTTGGCTTTAGTAGGAGAGAAGGACGGGAGATAGATCAATAGAAGAGTACGATTCCACATGCGATGAGAACTGACTGAATACGTTAATATATCATGTCGAAAGTACACGCAACGCAACTAACCATGCTAGACCCTAGTCAGGTAAAGGTGCCTCTGGGCGTTAAGCTATCTCGTGACTCCATGTGGTAGCTCGACCACTGGTCGAAGAATAAAGGAAACCAATTCATGTACCTTTGAAGCAAGGGGACCGAGTGACAGGCTTGGCTTGGAAAGAATACAATAGAAATAGGGTTTAGTAATCAAGGTAGGGTTGGGGTAGAACCTAGGGAAGAGCATAGTTTAGAAGCGATAGGGTTCAAGACGGATCTAAAGATAGGCACGACTAAAGCAATGGAACTTTCGTTTTCAGATAGGGAGAGAGAGGACTCCAGCTCGATCTTTGCTCAAAGTTAGCGGGGCTAGGCTACGGTTGGAAAGGAAAGTTGTGCTCGACTAATCATCTGCAGGTGTGTAGCGGTTTAGGGTCGATGTAATTGAGGAGCGGAGTGGGAGAAGCGAACGAGCGGATTAGAGACCTTCAGTTCAGACCTTCACTACGTTCACCCTTAACTTAAATTTAACTAGACCGGTAAAAGAACTGGTTTTCTCTTTCTACTCACAAGGCGCTAAAGGCCCTTATACCTGAAAGAGTCTTTCACTTTTCCTATCTTAACTTATCTAAAGAGGCTATGCAAGCTAATAGAAAAAGTACTTGCTTTATCCGGCTTAGCATTCTATTAAATGGAATGAAAGGGTCTCTTAGGCGGCCTTTGCTTTATAGTCGAGCTTCGGAGCAATTTACCACATTTTAAAGTAGGCCTCGTCCGTCTCTCTCATTCAAAGTAGGTAGATGAAAGATCTGTAACTCCCCTTGACGTTCTAGTTTCGGTCTTCTACGCGGGCACAAGCATACTAGCTGACAAGACAGACTACTGGACGGGCTAGCTTCCCTCACTTCTAGCTTTCCGGGCTCACTCATGCTTTCCACTCCCGCTCGCTGGCACCTCTTTCCTCTTTACTACTCCACTTTGTTGATGCAACGAACTCTTTCTATTCCACTCGCCAACAGCCTCCCGTAAAAAAGTATACGTAACTCGCCTCGCATCCTCCCCTTACCGATTAGACTATAGAGCGGGTGGGGCTGAAGGGGCTTACGATTAACTTGTTTTTCATCAATCTTTGGTGAGTGTGAAATAAGAGAAGGACTCATGTTCTTCATCATTCTTCCAGCAAGCGCATATCTTACTTATGCTTTCGACGAGTAATACAATAACCGGCTTACACAAAAAAAGGCTAGCTTTCCTCAGCATCAAAGATCGCCCACTCATTCATCATACCATCATGCAAAGCAAGACAAACCTCGTAGGACAGGAAATCACTCTTTTGGACTCTTCTTTGTTTTTCATTCTTGGAAGAATGGATTTCTTTCATGCCTTACTTTCGAAGGCTTTCATCTCCACGGGGGGCGAGCCCTCTCGTTAGCTCTATGTAAGGGCTTGGGCTTCTCTGGGGGTCTAGCCTTGGCCATTGCTTATGTTTTTCAAGCCTTCCTCACTGCCGAGGCCGCACCCTCTCTTGGAAAAAATATGGTTCCGTCTGGGTCGGCTGAGGGCGGCTCATCAAGCTCCGAAGCGAGCGTCAATCAGCAGCCTCTGATTCCGGAGCTTCACCCTCCTTTGATGGATGACTCTACCCGCGAAGCAGAGCTCAATGATCGTTTGGGTATTCATTTTTCGGGTATATCATACAACCCCGACGTTCGGGAATCGTTTGTGCGGACCCAGCGGGAAATTGAAAAACATATCGAGGGGGCTCTCGTGGCCGACGGGTATTCTCGTGAGACTATCTTTGAAAAAAGACATCGGATACGGGGGTTCTTGTTTTACCCGGGCGGGACCGCGCTTTCTGAATCCACTTACGTGGACCATCTGAACCAAATCAGGGAAAATGGTACACGGCAAAGCGTTCCGTATCGCAGGATTATAAGAGCCCTCCAAAGCTATGATCTCTTTTTATAAAGATAGTCTTTTTAGAATCATAGTTCGGTAGTGGGGTGTTGGCCCTAATCCCCATTGAGAGTCAGAGGTAGTGTAACTAGGTAGCCAGTCTTTACTTAACTCGTCCCAAGCA